AATGAGGGCACAGATATAATAGACATTCAACAGATGATATGAAGTTACATTCAAAGCCACTATTAAACATTTTCAGTGATTTTTCAATAGATTCAGTGATTACGCATCTGCTGACACACTACAGAGCACTATTAGTGAAACAAACAAAAGTGAATACAAATTAATCTCTTTCCTCCAATCCCAGACTGTAATATGACTTTTTTTCTATTTTAACACTATCACCTCACATAGAAAATAAAATTAACTAGATCAGGTTGCTCAGATGTTATACCAAAGATGTCCCTGCTCACTGCAGGGGGGTTGGGCTAGATGATTTCTAAAGGTCCCTTCCAACCCAAAGCATTCTACCATTCTATAGAGCTATTTTAAATGGAGGAAAAAAAACCAAACCAACACTGGAGATGTTCTTGAACAAGAAAGATTGACAAGCACACTCATATTCATTGTTCTAGGACTCCCAAGACTTTTCAGTCACTGTTAAACTGAGATGTTAGTTATTTCTGCAAATCTGTGTACACGCATACATCACTCAAACTGAGTATTACTTTCTACTGTAAAAACGATCTTGTACTACTGTCCATTTGTTGTGAACGCAAAAGAAATACTAGATGAGCAAGATTCCTCCATCTGCAACTGCTGCATCTGCCTTAAAAAAAACATCATTTGGCCACTGTGAGATTTATTTGGAAAAACTCAGCTGTAGTTTACGTACATGCTGTCAGGCAATTCTCTGAAGTACGTGAGATACAGAAGCATACTGGCCTGTCAATAAAGGTACAGGTAAGAATGCAGTGTTCTTTTGAAAAAAATCTATATAGGTATTTCAGGGATCTATTCACATTATTCCTTGAATAACATACAAGTTATATAAAGCCACCTCCTTTTATAGATTTCCACTACTATTCTCTACTTTGCAGTAAGATTTCAAAACACACAACCATAAACCGTGTTACACTAGGCACTGTGCGAACAAAGGCTTTTTTATCTCAAGGGCTTTCAAGAAACCAGACAGATATTGTAAGAAGGGCACAAAAACATTTTAAATGCATGTGCTGGTTTTGGCTGGTGCAGAGTTAATTTTCTTCATAGTAGCTAGTATGAAACTATGTTTTGGGTTTGTGCTGAAACAGTGCTGATAGTACAGGGATGTTTTAGTTATTGCTCAGCAGTGCTTACACAGAGCCAAGGCCTTTTCTGCCTCTCACCCCACCCTGCCAGTGAGCAGGCTGGGGGTGCACAAGAAGCTGGGAGGGGACACGGCCGGGACAGCTGACCCCAGCTGACCAAAGGGATATCCCATACCATATGACATCATGCTCAGCAGTATCAAGCTGGGAGAAGAAGATGGAAGGGGGGATGTTCAGAGTGATGGTGTTTATCTTCCCAAGTAGCTGTTAGCACATGATGGAGCCCTGCTTTCCTGGAGATGGCTGAACACCTGCCTGCTGATGGGAAGTAGTGAATGAATTCCTTGTTTTCCTTTGCTTGCGTGCACAGGTTTTGCCTTACCTATTAAACTGCCTTTACCTCAACCCACGAGTTTTCTCACTTTTACCTTTCTGATTCTCTCCCCCATCCCACTGCGGGGGAGTGAGCAAGCAGCTGTGTGGCACTCAGTTGCCAGCCAGGGTTAAACCACAACAATGCAAGACAGGATATTATCAATAGCCAATTAGCCTGCATCTTCTCTTCACCTCAAAGGCCTTCCAAAGGAAGTCTGTCTGTATTTTCTCCTCCTCCACCTCCCCTACAGTCTTTCCAATTTTGAAAGACTCCTAACCTCCCCAACTCTATACCATGAGAACAGTTCCACTTTGGAGGAAGAAAGGAAGGAAAGTTTCCAACAAAAAATAAAACAGATATTGCCTCATTCTTGGAAAGTGGCTCACAAACCCATTCAAGGAAAAGTACACCTTCACAAATTCAGCTTAAATTTCTGAAAGCACCCTCCCAATATCTTTGCTAAACAGCAATAAGCAGAAAATTATCAGCACTCTTGATATATATGAACTGCTGTTCTGAACCACACCAGAAACTAAAACCCTACTATTCTAACCAAGTTCAGAATTATGCTGCTGGCACAAAACATCAGCAGCAGCAATAGAGGTTGATTCTGGAAGCTTTTTCTCATGCAAAGTGGAGACTGGAAAGACAAATACACTCCTCTCTCCTCATTTGGAATACAGAATCCCTATGAAGAAATGGAGAAGGAAAAAATTCTCCCCAAACAAATAATTTCTGAGAAACAAGATTCAAAACTATCAAATGTTTCTATCCAGAAATTGGTTTAGAAGAGCAACACCCTCTGCTAACCCAGAATGCCCTAACAACTAGCCCAACAGCTGGCACTGTCAAGCAGATAACACTATGGTCAAGCACCTCAGTTTTAAACCTCACTTCAAGAAGTCCTCCATAATCATCAGTTCACGTTCAGTTCTACCCCTGTATTGGGTTTGTGTGGCAAGGTTTTGGTAGCAGGCGTGGCTACAGGGGTGGCTTCTGTGAGAAGCTGCTAGAAGATTCCCCTATGTCCAATAGGACCAATGCCAGCTGGCTCCAAGATGGACCTGCCGCTGGCCAAGGCCAAGCCCATCAGTGACGGTGGTAGTGTCTCTGGGATAACATATTTAAGAAGGGGGGAAAAAACTGAGCAATTGCAGCTGGAGAGACGAGTGAGAATATGTGTAAGAAGCAACCCTGCAGACACAAAGGTCAGTGAAGAAGGAAGGGGAGGAGGTGCTCCAGGTGCCAGAGCAGATTCCCCTGCAGCCCATGGTGAAGCCCCTGGTGAGGCAGCTGTGCCCCTGCAGCCCATGGAGGCCCCCGGGGGAGCAGAGATCCACCTGCACCCGGGGAGGACCCCACACCAGAGCAGGGGGATGTGCCCAAAGGAGGCTGTGACCCCACGGGAAGCCCACGCTGCAACAGGCTCCTGACAGGACCTGTGCACCCGTGGAGAAAGAGAGGAGCCCACGCTGGAGCAGGTTTGCTGGCAGGACTTGGGACCCCACGGGGGACCCACGCTGGAGCAGTCTGCTCCTGAGGGGCTGCACCCCATGGAAGGGACCCACGCTGGAGCAGTTCATTAAGAACTGCAGCCCGTGGGAAGGGCCCACGTTGGAGAAGTTCATGGAGGACTGTCTCTCATGGGAGGGACCCCACGCTGGAGCAGGGGAAGACTGTGAGTCGTCCTCCCCCTGAGGAGGAAGGAGCGGCAGAGACAACATATGATGACCTGACCACAACCCCCATTCCCCGTCCCCCTGTGCCGCTTGGGGCGGGAGGAGGGAGAGAAAATCGGGAGTGAAGTTAAGCCTGGGAAGAAGGGAGGGGTGGAGGGAAGTTGTTTTTAAAATTTGGTTTTATTTCTCATTATCCTACTCTGATTTGATTGATAATAAACTAATTTCCCCAAGTCAAGTCTATTTTGCCCGTGACGGTAATTGGCGAGTGATCTCCCTGTCCCCATCTCAACCCACGAGCCTTTCGTTATATTTTCTCTCCCCTGTCCGGCTGAGGTGGGGGAGTGACAGAGCAGCCTTGGTGGGCACCTGGCATCCAGCCAGGGTCAACCCACCACAAACCCTAACTAGACAGACATCCAGATCAATAATGCAACCAACAGAATTTGAATGTTACAACTTTCAACAAACAACGAATTAGCAGAAAAAAAAAATCACTTTAAAGAAGTGAA